CACTACCTTTGGTCGTATGTGATAGGAAGAGCTGTAGTTTTGAATGATATAGGCGATTAATTCTCTCTGTAGCCGTGTCTACGGACGACGCCAGAGAAAGCTGCTACTGAGATTTATTGGCCCCCGGTAAGGTTCAACCACATTCTTGAATTCATATTTGGAAGCTCTCTACAGTAATATGACTCATATAAGCCTCCTTCATTTATTAATTGGCTGTAGTAGACTAAAGCGCTCAAGTTAAGTCACTATACGCGGATTATCACCAGGACTTACACGGAGTGCAGTGATGTATCATGATTCTATAACCAGGGTCTTTAACGCTGCATCTGAAATATGCTGTTTTACCCCTAACGATATTTACTGTCCGTACTATCATTGGGAAGCTGATTTGTCTTCTGCTGCGGCCTTGGTACTCGTGATTATATTCAACAGGCATATCACAGAAGTTTCCACCTCACCACTCGCATCCATACTCTCAAAGACCAAGCTCACATGCCCATCTCCATTGTTAATCGGCTTAAAGAGCGAATGCTTCTCCAGTATACCCCAGAGAACATCCACATCAGTCAGTTTTGTTTTGCTACCCTGTTGACGCTCAGGCGTAGAAACTCGTTGTTCTAACACATTGTGGCGGCAGTGTACGTTGATCCAATAAAGCGGAACTCCTGCTTTGCTTGCGATATCGAGATGTTCTCGAAAAACAGCTTCGTCTCGTGGAGAGTCTGCTGCTAGACATGCTGTCATGAGGATGGTGTGGCCCTGTTTAGCCTGGTGTGCCAGCTCTTCAAAGATAGGGGCTCGGACTGAGCGACGTAGCTCATGATGTCTATCGCTCCGGTTTGGAATGACTGCGACCACGGGGTCAATGAGGAGGTGGTTGTCTAGAAGACATGTTGTTTCAGTGGGGAGGTACTTCTGAAGATGCTTCAGAACGGTGAGCTTTCCTGTCCCTGGGAAGCCATTCAGGACGACAATTTTTCCAGATGAAGAACCGGACATTTGTTGAGATTGTTCGGGATTTGTTGTTTTATTTCTACGGGATGCCTCATGTGAGTGTGCCACGAATGTCTGGAATACCATGATCAAAATTTGTGGTTTGGTCAGTCAGAGTTGAAGAGATAAAGTCGTACATGTTTGTGTAAGATAGAGACGTCACGTGTAGTTCTGTGAAGAACACAAAGGTTATTCCTTATCGAAATCCCCCGACCACCTTTATGTATCAAATTGTCTTTGTAGTGTTTGACGAAGAGTGGTACAGTGGGATACTCCCTAGATCCTACAAACCTTCTCAAATTCCGAACCTAAAAACCCTTTCTCCCCACTGCACCACCACTCTTTGTTTTTGCTGGGGTCACAGGGTCGAACTGAGGGCTGTGACCTTCTTTTTCTTTTTACTCCGGCTGCCGCTAGAAAGTGTACAAGACACGACCCTTGATGGCATACTGGTATAATCAACCAACAATATCAGAACTCAAGAGGGATTTCCACTGCTTTGCTTCCATGTTCAAAGCAAACACACCCCCTTTCCGTTTGCTTGCCGCTTTTTCGAATTCAAACATCCTGATAGTCAGCTTTGAAGTTGCCAAGGTTCAGAAGAGATCCAGCAGATACCCAGACGACCCCTTTTCAAATGAACTCCTTGCCACAGTGACAATGGCCCGATCACTCGCTCGTCAAATCTATAACCTCAGGAGCATTATCAGCTGCACGCTTCTCTCCAGCCGCTGGCGACTGCGAAGTAGTTGTCTGGGCTGGTCTCGGACCCAGTCGTTCAATCTTGGCATAGTCCGAACCAAGCAGTGTTTTGAGATCTTCGGCTTCAAACTTAGCAAACTTTGCGGCACACTGATCCCTTCGTTTCCGCCAATCTTGTAGTTTGACCTCTTCAGGGCGACCTGTCTTGGTTACGACCATCGTATTTGGGTTTGTGTTCCGCTCTGTTACGTGGGTGCAGGCGACGTGAGCGGCTTGGATCTCTTGATGAAAATGGAAGCGGCGTTGTTTGCTCATTGGGTACCTCGCAGAGATTCTTGTTGGGTGGGCAAGAAAGGCGTTCAAGCGTTCGCAATCTTCGCACCAACAATCAACACCCACCATCGACCAATTAACAGATCCCTGGGGCTCAGAACCAAGGTAGCCTTTGAGCATTGTCAGAATGAGAGTTGAGAAGAACTTCTGGTATGATGGAGTTGTCAAGGGTGTTTTCTCGACCTCTAGAATCTCGACACTGGATTGCAAAAAGGGAATCCACATCGAGAAGAGTTCAACGGCTGGGAGTTTGTGAGCTTGCTTGTTGACTTTCGTCATAAACTGGTCTCTCAGATCACCCAATTTGTGGAGAAACAGGAAGAAATTTCTCAATGTTTCCCACGTAATTGCGTTTCTCAGTTGACTGCGAACTTGGCGAATTCGGCTCAAATCTCTATCGTCATCCATCCATGGCTCAGCCTTCCTTTTCTTTTCTTGCGCGCCGATGACTTTTGCATCGCGCAACAAAGTAAAATCTTGTGAGGCAATCAGCATACGGGCCATGGTCTGAGAGAGTGCCACAACTTCTGTTGAAGGAAGTGTTCCATCAGCCATCAGGACCATTAACCGAGATAGAATCTTGAAGCGGAATGAAGGAGCGGCGGTCTGTTTCTCGAAAATAGGCACCACGCTTCAACACAAGTTAGCTTAGCGAAAGAGTGATATGAGATAGATGATATAGGAGGAACAGAAGTACATACGATTCTTTCATAAAAAGAATGGGATCCTCAAAGTATAGTGACATGTTAACGAGGGACAGCCCATCCTGGGTTGTAGCTTCCTTAAGACCATGGCCGTCAAGGAACTTGCGGATGTTCTGTTGAGCCCAGTCTTTTATAAACTTAGGAGTAGGGATAGCATTGGGAGGTAAGTCTTTGGGGAGAGGAACTAGGTGAGCAGTAGCATCAAACTTGTGGTCTAACTTATCGTCCGATGACATAGCAATCGATAGTCTAGAGCACATTAGCTAGGAACATACCGATTTATGATGTCTTACCCTCTCTTAACCTTATCGAACCGTTTCAAGGCTCTCGCTTCACCATCATCCCTGATAAGCCACTCCCTCAGCCAGCTATACCATTCATACGGTAGGTAACCGCTAAGCTTCGAAAGGATGGTCTCAGCTAGCACGTATTTTCCATGTTGCAGGGAAGCTTTGAGAACGTTTGGCATAACGGATGTGTCTGTTAGTATATGACGTTGCTTTTCTATATGAGGCACTGCACGCTTAACAAGATTCACCATCGTGGTGATCAAGTAGTCCTGAGCATCTGGTTTACAACAGAGCTGGGCAAGGTAGTTGATTTGCGTCTGGGGGAATTCCTCTGGTTGACAGCCATATTCACTCTGGGACTGGCGGAAGAAACCACCGATTGAGTCGTGAGGAACAATAACGACACCCTGCTGGATGTTAACATACCACAACGATGACAAGTAATAAAGTATGATACTTACACCAAGAAAATACCAGTGGGTTGCTTGAGCGCCCTGCAGATTATAGTTAGTCAGATTCAAGTCATCGAAAGAAATCTGTAAAAAGATCAATACGAACAGCGTTGCCCGTGTGCCTTTCGTAGTCTTCTTTATCAGGATCCAAACTGTCAAAGGTGAATGGTTGAAGAAGGTGGTCTTCTTTAATGAACATTTTGCCCGGAACGACTTGGCCATTCAGGTCTTGGAGAAATTTGACAGCGAGTGATGATTCAAGGACGTCTTCGATACAATGACCCCCTTCATCTGATTCCTCATCGGATTCGTTATACCAACCGAGTGGATTGGCCATAACACTGCCTCTCTCCATCTTTTCAACCAAGGCAAGGAAAATCGTGACCGGCAGTCCGTTGCATGCTTCACGAAGAGCTGTAACGCGGGCTAAATCCTGTGCTTTGAGTGTCTTGTAGGATATGTTGGCTTCGGTATACTCATATTCCAGCATGTGATATGTATATGGACTCTGACGAGACTTTTTATCTTGTGCGAGCCATCGTCTGATACAATGCCGAGGTGGGCGTAACTCGGACCGTCCAAGAGGAGCAGATGGAGCCGGTAAAGATTTGTCAATGGCAAGATTGTAAGTAAGAACCCAACGATAGCCTGAAGTAACCGGGAGGACTTCATGGGATACATCCGAGTACCAAGCGGCAATGGAAGTGTGGTAGTCGGATGACTTGTAAATCATTTTCTCGCCACAATGCTTCATGACGACCTCACCACCAGTATGCTTGGATGGGAGGCTGATGACAAGAGTACCGAACATACCGGGGATCTTTTCAGTACTAAGCGCAGCATTAATTGGCTGTTATAGGATGATGTAAGCAAACTGCTCACTCGGTATGTGGTTTGAACATGGCGCCCTCATCGTATAGCAGCATCTTGTAAAGTTTGGCACGGACAGGCTTGTTTATACCCATCTGCTCTGCCGCCTTCGCGCATGCATTCGGGGGATAATTACGCCACATGGCTGAGATTATCGTGAACTGAGAAGGGTCAAGTTCCCAGGTATTTCGCACAGAAGTATCGACAAAGGTCTCAGTTCCCTTACCGTAGGGGGCCTGGCGTGCTTTGGTGATGATTTGACGAGCTTGAGATTCAGCAAGTGGCGTAGCAATATTGCCAACCCCATCTATAGAGATGCTGAGATCAGAAGGAGCTCTGTATTTTGTACAGAAAGCAAATTTTCCGGTAGAGTTGATGTTCTGAATTGCTTTTAAGAGATCATCGTGGAAGTTCTTTTTGAAGTCGAGTGTGTTCAAGTCACTGGCAACGCTTGAGTTGTCATCAACACGATCTGGACCAGAGGCGGATGTCGATCCTGAGGCTGAAACATTTGCACTAGTGGATGCCATTCTCAGTGAAGCTATCACGACCTTTCTTGTAGTAGGAAAGTAGCTTAACTGTAGAGGTAGGCGTTGAGAGGTTCGATAGTGGGTCTGAGAATGAGAGATGGACCAATGATGTAAGAGGATCTTGGTGTAAGTGCAGGTGCAAGTCAACTCCTCAACTTGCCTTTTCTTTTTGCTTTTTCGATCTTACCAATAACACAAGATGTAACTTATTGACTCAAAGAGTTGATACTGAATGGAATCAAGATCGTCACATTCTTATTCATCAGGGTCTCGCATCCCCCTCTTATCTTCGAAATTCCCAGTATCCCACGCGGGGTCGTTGAAAGTTTAAATGCGCCACGTCTTGAGAGTGAATTGATACTTGTAAGCAGTGAAGAGACAAAGTATCCAAGTCGGGAATAAGCACAGTGATAGTATAGAAACTCCCACATTGTATAGTCTAGTCACTACCAAAACTTCAATACAAGATCATAAGCTATTGACAAGTGATTTCATATCATAAATTAATATTTGAAGAAAATTGAGACTCTAATATCATCAGCATCCTCATCCTCCGCCGTCTCCTCCCCCTCCTCCACCACCACAATCTCCTCCTGCTCCTCCTCCCCCATCACCACTGCTGCACCCTCCACTCATATCACCACTACTACATCCTCCACTATCATCATGTCCATTGCCTTCATTATATTCCGCTCCCGCCCAGCCTCCAAAGCCTCCATCAAGGTCAGTAACATAGTGACGCCCAGCTCCCATAACGTAATGATGTCCGGCTCCCAGTACGTTCGCGTACACGGGGTCACTCTGACCCTCATCGACAGGTTCGGGACTTGGAGATCTGCGTAAATTCATACGCCGACTTGCATATCGTTCCAAAATATCTGGTGTTTTGTTTGCAGTGGATTTGGCGGGCTCTTGTGCTGGTGTTGGTTTGAACTCGTCGGTTTCTTGTTTCTTCTTCTTGTGGAACCTTAAATGTTTTGTAAAAGAGGTTTTAGATGGCATTTTGTAAATTGTTGAGTAAAGATACCGTAACTTCTGAGAGTGAGACGATGCTGTATATATATCTATATGCATCATGACCCTGGTCAAGCACGAGACTAACTAGAATTGTGTCTATCGTGCGATGGGGTCTTTCAGTCTTATTAGCCGGGCGTCTGCGCCTCAGCTGACTCGGTCGAAGCCGAATAATCCCAGTCTCGAATATAATCGCCAGAAAGAGACAGATGTCCAGTTATTTTAATGACTCCAAGATGCCAATGGCCCCCATGCTTCTATAGTTGGGACTTATGGTGGCTCAGAAACATCGAGTTTCATTCGCTAGTCAGGGCTCTTTGTCTAAGTCAGACGACATAATTCTTGACTCCTAATGGAGGTAAACTGCTCACTTATCCAATCGGGGATTAATCGTACCTTATCCACATGTCTTGCCCTCTGGTGGTAAGCTGTACTGCCTCGCGTCGTATTAACAAGTACCGCATGACCCAAGGCGAGGCAGATTTTGCAAACTGCAACTTAGCGAGATAACAACAAAGGAGACCTTATTATAATATAGCAACTGAGGAAAGTTTCAGAGACAGTACGAACCTCAACTACCCAATACCGGATATCCTCATTGACAATCAACGGCCAGCAATCTAGAGCGACGCCATGACAATGGGAATGAACACCAACATACATCAACAAGATCAGGCCGCGTGGCCTAATGGCTAAGGCGCTAGATTTCGGTTCACCAAAATCAAACTCTCTAGAGATTGCAGGTTCGACTCCTGCCGCGGTCGATTGACACAGCTGATCATCTTTTTGTCTTTCATTCTATTTCAATTTTGTGTAGATTTGGGAATTGGTGTTGTATTTCCTCTTTTGATCATGACAGGCAGGGGGTTGCGCTGCAAAATGCAGGGTCTGGCTTAGACCACCTCTGTTTTAGAATAGTCCAGCAGACAAAGAACTGTGTCTTCTCTTACTCTAAAAGAAAACGACTTTAAAGTACTTCGTTCATCTTTTTACTTATAAATGCAGGGTAGCTTAATCCAATTACTCTGGATGAACTAATTGGACATGCAGGGCGAGAAGAACATCACTGTACACGGTCAAGTTGTCAGACTGACTGGGCACCTTGCATAAGTATGGTAATAGTACTGACATTAACACCAGTCAAACATGTGTGGAAATAACCTGTGTTTATCATTGTGCCCGTAAGTAAACGCCACGTCGCCCAAGACCTCAAAGTATCCAATAACCTCCTTCTTCATAATACAGAGGCCCCCCCTAGAACGAGTCTCTGATATTCTCGTCGGAGTCATCAATGTCAGGGTCAAGAGCGCCAGGGTTAAGGTCAACTTCAACTTCAACGCCAACACCAACTTCAGTTTCAACGTCATCCAATCCCTCAAACATAGCGGCATAACCTGAAGGATCATGATTTCCACCGCCGTTAGCTGAACCTAACTCCATTTCAGACGGCACACCTCTCCTTCCTTCTTCCGAATATAGTGGAGGTCCCCTCTAGAACGAGTCACTGATATTCCAGTCGAAGTCATCAATTTCCTGCGTATCAAAGCCCTCGAACATGGCGGCATCACCTGAAGGATCAAGATTTCCGCCGCCATTAGCTGAACCTAGCCCCATATCAGATGATACACCTCCCATACTAATGTCGAGGGTCAGGTTATCAACCGACATGTTATCGCCCTGGACTCCCGAAGCTGCAGCAGCCATGGCATCCCCAAGAGCAGCAGTGTCATCGGCGAGGTTGAGTGACATGTCTGCTGTTTGAAGCATTCCCTGGGGCTGAGGAATAATCATCTGAGTTTCGACACGACGGTGCAGACGCACCACATGCTCAGCGAGCACAGGGTCTTCCTTCTGGAGCTTTCTGCAGCCTTCAACTTCCACCTTGAGAAGATCGCGGAGAGTTCGCTGGCGCTGGATCGGTGCGAGCATGTTACCATTAGCATCGATCATGCTCGTTGCAGGAGCGTCTTTCACAGCGTCAGGGGCGCATATCAACGAGGTAGCCACGTCGTAGACGATATTCGCGCTCCCGGCCGCTGTATGTTGTCGCACTTCTTCCAGGATCACATGTAACAGTCGTCTAGGACCCAGTAGCTTCAGTCCAGCTAGTATTTGGCGATGGGTGTAAGAGGTTGGCATGCTGTTCATAGCAGGATGGATACTCCAATGAACAAGGCCTTGAATAGTAAGTTTGACAGCGCTGGGAAGTCCACTGGGAGGCGTGGCGGTCCACGATTCAAGCTCATTGAGATCTGTGCCACCGGTGCGTCGAGATAGAGGGATGCTCTCTTTAAGAGTTCGCAGAAGAGGCTCAATGTCTTGGTTTTTAGGGTCTCGGCGCTGATATGTCCGTAGAGCATGCTCCAGGGGTTTTGCGATGAGATTCTTTACGGATGAGAGCATTGTGCTAGCCTCCCCAGAGATGGAGCTTGGGAGGAGAATGAGCTGTAAAATTTTGATGATGGACTTTTGTTCCTTTTGGTCGATCCAGAGGTAATCTGCCAGGAATCGGATTGCTGGGACAAGGGACGGCAGCAAAAAGGTATCCACAAGATCTGTCTGGTTAGCAAATGAATGGTTGACAGGCGTCTGGATACTCACATTCTATGCCTCCCTTGAGGCTTTCGTCATTCAGATAGCCATAGGTATAAGCAACCACAATGCTCTGGAAAAGAGGTGCGACCACTAGATAGAACTCCTGCGGTGGGCAGGAAGACATCAACTCATCACCCAGACCACCGGCCTCTGTATCAAAGAGTCCATGAACCCAGCCATTGATGTGCTCCTCCTCCCGTGATGTAAGTTCATCTCCTTGCCGCCCAATATGTCCCCGGGCAATAATTTTAGCTACCCACGAGTCCGGAGTGGTGATGCCAATATCTACTGCGTTCAGGTTGTATCGATAAGTAAATGCGAATACAAGAAGAAGAATCGCCCCGAACTCCTCATACACAGGCTGATACTCTCCCTGGTCTTCCTCATATCGCCAGTTGTCGAGTAGCTGACATAGGGGCTCGAGGATGTTTGGCAGCTTCTCAAACAGCAGGATGATATCCAATGACTGGGGCTTCGCCGCTAGCTGGCTACAGAGCAGCTTCAGGGACATAGTCTCCTTGTTGTGGCATGATTGCCGTAGCACCTATACCTTGTTAGAATTAGAAATATTATGAGTCGGCATTACTTACCTCGACGAGGGCTTGGCAAACAGCGCCAACATTGCCATCCATCTTATCAAGCTCCCGAACCAAGCCCTGAATCTTGTCTGTATCAGACAAACAGTCTTGTACCAGCTTGTCCTTGGAGTGCTTCTGCAAAGACGGCTCGTATGAGAGTGAAATCTCGCCAAGTATCCTCTCGACGTGCTCCCTTTGCACAAGTCCATGGAGGACACAAGCGGCACAGAATTCCTCTCTGATACTTTCGGTATAGGGGTTGTTGTTTCTGGACTCATCAAACATGAGCGAAGCCGTGGGAAACAAACTAGTGTCCACATGGGACAGCGCTTCAGTAATGCAAAACTCGGCTGATGTGCCTGAGAAACCCGGAGGCAGGAGCTGGTATAGCAGTAGTGGGAGCTTGTTGATCAGGAATGAGCGTAGAAGGTGAGCGTCCTTCTGGCCTTCATTGCGGAATACAGCATTGGCTAGAATATCGAATGATGCCAAAATCAGATCAATTGCACTTGACTGAATATCAGCTCCATACTTGTTGCTCATATAAGAGAATAGAGCGTGGTCATCCAAGATAGGACGTCCAATAAGCTTGGCCAATTAGTACAATGAACATCGTCCTGAATTTTGACACACTTACAGCAGCATTAAGATAAATGTATAGTCCTGCTCTAGTATTGCTGACAGAAATCGGTGTTACGACAAAATTTTCCAAGCCAACAGTAGAATCAAGAAGCTCATCCATGGCAGCATTGGCAACCTGCTTCTTCTTGTCTACAGGGTCAGAACTGGCCAGGATCTCCGTGCGGAATAATTCTAGCTTATCAGCAATTTCCGGTACGAGTTGCAATGCTGGCAAAAAGCTTGCCAGGCTTGTGGACAGCGCTTTTCGGACGTCTATAACTAGTCAGCACAACTGGTCGCCAAAGATGAGTGTCTAAGTTCCATACTTTTGGCAAACGGCTTGCTTATAGCGCTGACAAGAATGGGATTCTCGCATAGACGCAGTAGCAATGCGACTAGGGCTGCTCGTGATGATTCCATATCGTCCCTCAGCTGACCACTCGGGAACTGCTGCTCAAGCATATCAGCAGCAAAGGCGGTTGCAGGCAACGCATTGGTGAATAGTTCCATGAACTTTGAGATTATCATAGCCACCTCCAAAGCCGATCTGGAATCTTGTATCGCCCTGCCCTCTACTACAGACTTGGTAAGTCTATAGAAGAGGACCTCTTCAGCCCAGTAAGAGCTCTTCCACCGTGTGATGTTCTTCTTGGGTTGCGCATCTTCCTTATCCTTATCCTTGTCCTTTTCGTTTTCGCCCTCTTTCTCTTTATCTTTCCCTGTCTCAGTATTTGATGATTGTAGTTGCTGTTTTTGCGCTTCGGCGTGCGCATGGGACGAAGAGTATTTGTACAAGGCCTTTAGTATTGACGGCGTATCAACATAGCCCAATTTTGTGAGGACTTGAAGATATGGCGGTATTCTGGGATCGAGGCTACTGTCGTCTGATGGCTGAGGGCGAAGAAAGAAGTCGGCGACTAGGACTGGTGGTAAAGGATGTTGATCGTGGACGATCTTGACGTAGTCTTCGAATTTGTCTGTTTCGAGTCGTTGCGAGACGCAGCGTGCGACGAACTGGCACCAGTATTCAATTGCTGCGCGCATAGCATCTCCGGCAGCTGCAGGGTTCTCCATGGCGAAGAGGATTTCGTATGGATGGTCTCGAGGTAGAGGATAATCGACGGTGTCGCGGGATGGGTTAAATATGGACAAAGGAGTTCTGAATCGCGTCCATGGAGCAAGGCCCTTCCAGGGGGGCTTTTAATTGTATAGATTTATCTGTCGGTATCCAAGAACGCCAAAAAGATACCAAAAGTCAATTACAAAAGCATAGAGTCGTTATTGTAGCCTGAGCGCATAACTTATGCAGATGTCAAGCTTGAGCTATCGCGAATGGGTGGGTGTTGGTGGAAGGTCCAAAACTGGTGGAACCTTTGAATGGAGTGCGGATCAATTCCGCGGTTCGGCACTCTCACTTATATAGAATACTCACCCAGATTTATCACAGATCAATCGCATTTAGGACTATTATTCAATTATCTTATTATTGTTCCTCGGTTCAAAGGACATTGTTATTTCTTCTCAAGCAGGTTGAGTTATACGAGTATACTATAGCTCACCTCGAAACTGCTTCAAGATACCAGTCGCACTCCAAAACATAGAAATCATCGCTACCACAACAGTCATGGGTACAGATGCACTCTGTATATCACCAGGATGCTTGGTCACCCAAACTCCCCATAGAGCAAAAGGGGGTATCAGAATAAGGACATGATACAAGATAACATGGAAACAAGAAGTGCAGTATCGCGCCTCCAGTCCCCAGATAGCAACATCTCGTTCTCCAGAGCTGATTGGTGTCTTCTTCTTGGGGATACGTGGTATATAAATAGTCTCCTCGAACTCATAACACTCGTGAGGGGGGAACAGACGTCGACAGCTGCCGCCAGCGCAGCTATTGAATGCAGCTTCAAATACATGCGGGTGAATAGGCGGTAGTGATGCTGGTTTTGGTGAGAAATCATAGTCAATGTCGTTGGCTTCTGGCAGACCCTGGCCGCAAGCAACAACTACGTTGCGAGCAATGCTCTCAAACTGTTGTATTGGTAAGTATGCAGTCGATATGGAGTGGACCTGTATCAAGAAGTTGAATGGATGCCTGCCTACCTTAACAAAATTACAGTGACTAAGCTGCCAAAACGAGAACCATGCTCTGATTCTACCACGTATTCTCTTGTGCTCTTTCTGCATCTGTGGGAAAATTTCACTCTTGGGTTGCTGTGTCACTAGGATGGGAGTTAGATGAAGCGTCTTGGGCCCCGTGGGCACCCCAAACAGGATTCTCAAGTCGCAGGCAGTATTCGGCAGCTTGTTGCCTTCTCCAGCAATAGTAGTAATTCCTTGTGCCTGATCACTACTTTCTATGCCGGATAAGGGTAAGTGATTGTTCTGAGACGCGGGTATCGAAGTGGGCAGAAGCGCTTCAGATCTCTGTCCAAACCGACTTGCGATACTTTGAACAACGCTTTGCCTACTGTGGGTATTTTCCTTGTTCTCAACGAAAGAGTTTGAGTTGTTGATAATCCTTTGTATTACGCGAGCCTGAGAAGGGGTGATGTCAACCCAGGAAGCCTTGCCACAATGCTAGGTATTGTTAGTATCGCAGGTCAACTGATACTGCCAACTTACTGATGACTTACACATTTCCAGTTCATTCGCACATGGCCTCTTCTTAGTGGTATCTTCGGCGGTGACATAGGCCACCAATTCCAAGGGCTGCCAGTTAGATCTTCTACCGAAGACTTGATTCGATCAGAGGTTGAAGTTTTGAACGCCGTGTCAATAAGCTCAATGTCGCCCCAAGAAGCCAATTGCATAATTTGCCTGGGATGGACAGGCAATAGTGAGAGAGTAAGTTCCGTTAAAAAGGCTCGAAAAGCGGTGCCACTTAAGAGGAAATCTTCCGCAACCTGAACCGCTTGATATTGTTCCGAGATGTTCGACCCTGAGTCTGCGCTGGAATCACTCTCATCATGAGTTTCTTTCAATGGGTGTAAGTCCTGGGGCTTCTCGTTTATTTGTTCAGTACACTGCAGGTTTGACAACCAGCTATCCAATGATGCTCGATCTTTGTGAAATGTCGGCCGCTCAGCATCTTCTTCGGAACCAGGATTTGTGACCAGGCCTGCCATGCCTTCTTTGACGGTTTGTCGAGATATTCTTCTTCGCGAGTTACGCCCTTTGAACATTTGAGCTGCAAGCACCTGGACATTGCTTTGTGTCTCTTCTCGGAGGCGTAAGTATAGAAGCTTCAGAGACCTCCGAATATTGCGCTTGAGTCTATCTCTGGGCATGATGTCAATCGATTCTTCAAGCACAAAGCTGACGCCTGGATGGCCAGCGAGTAGTGCACCGATCTGACGTTCGGCAACGATAACATGAGGCGTTCTTGCGTAACTACTAGAGCTCGATTGAATATCATCGTCGAAAGACTGGATTGAAGTAACATCGTTCATGTACTCAACTGACTTGTCTGGCTCCTCCTCGCTATCATCGGTTCCATTGACCTTATCAGCCTCAAATTCAACGGATTCTTCTGGATGTCTAATCGAAGTGTCTGTTGTAGCTACCTGGTGGTTGCTACTCGTCGGGTTCTCTCCTGAGGTGAATATGTCATCAGGGGCGAGGCTTATTGTTATCGAGCCACCGCCAGAAGCAAATGTTGGAGTAGTGTCTGCAGGTTTATCCAAATTGGGGGATAGCAGAGGTTCCAGCCACTCTCCAAGAGTGGGTAGGCCCGGTGAAGAACTGGACTCTGATGGTGACGGCAAAGACTGTTGATCAGATGGCGATATTGATTGCCGAGGAGGCGTGCTAGGAGGCCGAGTTTCGGAGCAGAATGTCGTATATAGGTTATAGACTTTCTCGCGTTTGGGCTTTTCCGCATTGTAAGCACATAGAGGCTCAGCCAGATGGTCCTGCATCTCCCTCTTGTTGAATGTATACCAACAGCGAAGGCAAAGAACAATGCCATAGTGCGCAGGATCCATAAAATCTTCGTCATTCCACTTGTCTATCGACCTGCATTTTTCGCAGACTCCTTTTGCTTTTATGAGTGGACTATTGCTCTGACAGCTTGCCAGGTACTTGCGAGAGGTGTTCCGAGGGTGATTCCCACGAAGAAGCCCATGATGATCAATGATATGCGTGAGGATATGAGATACCTCCTCCTTGAGACTACTGCATGCTTGCCTTTCGATTGATGAAAATTGATCCGGAGAAAACAACCAGAAGATACAGAATTCGCAGGCATATTCGAAATCCTCAGGTGTGACTCTTCTGCTTGCAAGAGCACCTACAGCCTCGTCTGTTCCATCGCCAGAATCTTCCGGTAATAGACCTGTCGCTGGCTGAGCCGAGTTCGCAGATCCGGAGGGCATTGGCCATATAGAACCTGCAAGAGTTGACGGTTTACTTTTCGCACCAAATACAGCGTCGATGTGTTTTATTTCATTATTGGTGCGATGTTTCTGTTCAGAGGGTGGCCACCAATTGATATAGGCGTCTCGTGAGGCTTGAGAGGTAACTTGTTGCCGGAGCCACTTTTCTACAGAGATTCCGTCTGTAGGTGATTGTGCCTCTGATAGGCTCTGGCTGTCAGGAGAGAGTGTCCATAGGGGTGTATCCTCCAGAGGTTCCTCATGGTCTGCCAGAGGCTGGATACGAGAGCTAACAAGGTGACAGATCAGGAGGCATTGATCTATCGTTGCGCATTCTTCATTGAGTTCGATATTTCTTACTGAAGCACTAGTGTTTTGGCTTTCTCGATTATCGAGGTCCATCTTCTCGTAAACTCGTTGTAGGTTCCTGCTGAGGGTGTAAAACACTACTTGGATTTTCTTTTCGTATCCTTCAAGCACCGTGTATAGCTTGGCCGCCGGTCTATAATAGCAGATGTCAAGGTCAGTTCTTGGGACTCAAGCAGGCTAGTATTTCTGGACTAACTTGGTCATAGTATCTAGGCAAACTGATATTGTTGCTTGGTATCCGGTTAATATGTCGATAAACTCGTTTATATCGCCTGTTGTGACCTCCATCTTGGACCAATCTCTCACGCCCGTCGTAGGTTTCATCTCAAAGTCTTTCATAGCCCTCTCAAATTCTTGACATAGGAGATTGCATCGACGAATCGGTCTTTCTAGAGTAATTCTTGGCGATGCATCTGAAATGGTAGTCTGTTCTAGTGCTTTCAGATTGTTGTGTAGGTTTCCAAGCACATTGCATAAACTAGCCAGAGATCTGTCGCGGCCTTTGTAACGAGCAACTCTGTTTCTCAGCGCCAGAGTTGACTGAGCCGCAACTGCGGCTAAATGATTGATGCCGATATCAGATGCAACTGATTCCATTATAACGATTGAAGCGAATATCGTGGCACGATATATTCATAGCACGGTCAATTCAAAGACACGCTCATATGAGCGAGATGTCTAATACTTGGTTGATATGCTCTGAATAATCCGAGGCAGGTGCGTTGGGGTCATGCAACTTCTTTCAGCCGCAACCTGTGTGGGTGCCTTGTTGCCTGCATCAGCCTGAAGAGGTGGTAAGGATCAGTATGAACAACTTGTCAAACCACACGATGAGCAGTATTTAAATAGAGAGAGATCAACGCATGTTCTTGTCTCGTTAAATGTTATCCGTTACTCCAGGCTCAATTTCCCCAAGCAACTCCAACAACTCCTCCCAAACCCGCTTATTCAACTTCTCACCCTCAATTCCCTGCATGCACTTTGGAAACTCACGTTCCTCGCCATTAAACAGAAACTTTCCATGCATCTCTTCTCCCGCAAAGACGCCAGACAGCAATACTCGAGCTCCTGTCTCTGCAGTCCGACCCAATAATGCTACAAGGCCATAGAAGAACAGGGTGAAGGGGAAAGCTACGTTTTTGAATAGCTGTGTACCGCAGAAGCCTGGGTGTACCGCATTCATGATGATGTGTCCTTTCCCAGAAGCGTCGGCAGCTTGGGAGAGTTGCTGCATGAACATGGTTTGTATGAGCTTGGTTTTGCCGTAGTGCTCAAGGACACTGGGTTGGGCGTCGAGAGCCTCAAAGATATTTGCCTCTGTTGTAGGAAGACGGCCCTGATTCTGTCAGTCTCAACTCTGAGAACATATGCAAAGAACTTACATCAAAGGATGCGTCGGAAGACGCGATAGTAATACGAGGGACGACATTAAACCTCACCATCGTTTGTCTCAGAGCCGGCAAAACGAGGAGCGTAAGGAGAGCCATCGATATGACATTGACCGTCAAGGCCGACTCGTGGCCCTCCACCATCTCACGATTAAAGGTTAGAAGACCTGCATTGTTGATCAAGGCATCGACCCTCTCTAGTCCTCTCACGCGCGTAGCGAATTCCTTGACGCTATCGTACGAAGCGAGATCCAATTGCCAGACTTCAACGACTTTATGTTTCTCTGTCGTCTGCTCGATATCCTTCTTGGCCTGCTCACCTCTCTCGATACTTCGGCATGCCAGAATCACCTTGTTGGCATTAAGTTCTGTAAGACGCCGGGCTGTTTCCAAGCCAATACCTAATACCAAGATGTTAGTTTAGTAGAGCAGTGGTTTGCCAGGAGTTCAATTACCGCTGTTGGCGCCTGTGATGATAAAAGTCTTGTCTGTGCAATCTTTATTTTGAGGCGGTACCGTGACAAACTTGTCACGGATCATATTTATGAAGAACGACATGGCAATTTATTTGCTCCTAGTAGGAAGCTAGACGCAAGATTCAATGAGGCGGTTGAGAGTCAAAGGTTGGAATTGTTGAGGACTGGAAATTGAGCCAGTCTTTATAGGCAACAGACTGTGGTGAACAAACGAACTTTTGAAGGATCTCATGTGCTAGTTTGCGTTGTATTGTGTAAGTTGTTTTATCGCGGCGAAGGATTGGACCCATTCATTGCTTAGTTGCAAGGAGCACTAACCCTGTCCCATGCTGTGCTGCGTCGTATCCGATCTAACCAGCTCGAACGATACAACAACGGTGTTGAATGGTAACAAACTTTCAATATTGCATGGCCGGAACCCGAATGGTACTGGTAGACATGGTAGTAGAAGACTTTTGAGAATATGCTAATAGCAGTCTTTAGGTCAAATGGTTCAACGCCGACTTGTTCTTTGACACTTATTTTGGCATGATTCTGTTCAAAAGGATTTAAATTAGCAATTATGAAATCTATAGTCTATAATCGTCGTAAAACATAAGGAACCCTTAATGCCGTCAGATTAATCCACCTTACACCAAATATCCAATGGCATCTCACAAACGAAAGCATGCACCCTGTACCTTACTTCTCAAAGGTATGCATGATAGTTCTCTTTCCAGCTGCCCAAGCTTCAGACTTATCAGTGCCCATAGCTCGGCCCTTGCTGTACCAGATCACGAGGCTGGGCAACTTCCATGTACCAAACTGACCAGTCGCTCTGCTTCGGCCAAGAGTCACACCAAACATGGGCTTGCCTCCAGGGACGTACTCTGGAGCTTCACCGCCGTCGAGATAGGTAGGAAGGGCCTTGAAGAGGTATATCGACTGGTTCTCTGCCATTGCGATCTGTGAGTTCTCAAGGTTACCAGCGTCGCCAACGACAAAGATGTTATTGTGTCCTTCGACCTTGAGATGAGTGGTCTGCTTGATGAAGCCGTCCTTGTCGAGGAGAGTCTTGGGGACGAATTCGGTGTTGGGAACAATGCCCGTTGCAGGGAGGTAAGCCTGCGCAGTGATTTGCTTGGTTGTGCCATCGGAAGAGAGAACCTCAATGATGATATCTGGCGATCCTGGCTTGGGTGTTGCGCTGATGACTTTTGTGTTGGACATTCTCTTGACTTTGAGGTTGTCGAGTTCCTTGACGACAGACTTGCGGACTGTTTCTGTGGCTGGGGGAGAAAGGGGCAGGTCGCCTGAGTAGATGAAGATGACCTCCTTCTTTCCGTGCTGAGAGTACTCAAAGCCCAATTCACCAGCTGTCTCGGAGCCAGTCATACCACCACCAGAGACAACAATAGTCTTGGCCTTGCTGATCTGGTTCTGTACATCATGCAACTTGGCTCTGGCGTCTTCTGTGGATCCAGTGCCCTTCCAGACCATACCATCTCTTGTTCGTGATCCAGTAGCGATAATGAGAGTGTGGTAGTTGACTTCGCGAACAGCAGAGGTGTCATTCAATTCAACGCTGACAAGGTTGGAACTGGTGTCGAGAGCAACAGCCTTGCCCTGAATCCACTCGAACTTATCAGAGGGATAGTCGACAAAGGTAGGCGCAAGGGGAACAAGGGCCTTTTCATCAGGAACTTGGCCGGGAACAACAACTCGAGGCATTGCGATGGGCCAGTGGAAGTGAGTGTTGGGAGAGACGACGACCATCTTGAGATTGTCGCGCTTGAGGACCTGGTTGATCATTGTTTGTCGGATGACAGGCATGGCAGCTGGGCCAGCGCCTAGGACCACGATGGTTTTGATGTCAGCCATTGTAGTGTATTGCTGTTGAGATAGCTGAAGATGGAAGTAATTGAGTAGTCAATTGATTGCTGATTGTATTGTATTGTGAGTTGAGATGAGATGAGAGATTGATCCAGAGCAGGATCCAACAAGCTCTATATACAAAATTCCAATGCTTCTCTACAACTGCTTCATCAGCATATTACAAACCCCCTCAGTCCCATACCGCGTGCCCTACATAGCAAAGTGAGACTCTGCAATAGAATTTCTCATCTCTATGCATCCATATTTGCTGACAAGAGTCGGTGCTTCACCGCGCGCGGCATAATTAGCGGCATTCTACAGTAGGCGGCTGATAAAGTTGACCAATTAGACTGCTTGACGCTCACTAAAGTCTCCGTCGCGCGGGCTTCGGATACTTTGCTTAGGGGACTGTCCGACGCTCCGCCGTGAAAGAGGTGGCTTACACCCAATAGCAAAGGACTTGAGAATTGTCAGCAACCCGACAGAATATTAGAAATGTCGGCACTTGATCAATCGCAGCACACTTTCGTAATATCCATTGCCGATAAATCTCCAGACTGTTTCAAAGAAATGCCGTGTAACTGCTATTTGGTCGTGATCTCACCTAAGCTGGTCGGCTAATATGGATGTTAGGCCGGCAGATAACCAAAGTCCGCAATTACATTCATATTCACATGCAGCATTTCGCAGCCAAGACTGCAATGTCACCCTCACACTAATCAATCTCAGCTGTCAATTGCAGAGACTCGAATCTAGAACTTGTCCTGTTAGATATCTCTCAGAAACCGACAAAGAGACAACTGCCCAATGCAGGTTAGCTGCGCAAAAAGGAAGGAGGCCTAATAATCACGATTGATATGACTACTTACAGCGGTTTATACGAGAATAATAGTAAAGATTGATCAAGAAGTTCAACCAATTAATGAATTGAGCCAAGGAGAGTTGACACCAAGTATGGTAACGCTGACTGACCGAGGGCCCACCTCAAGTCAAAACAACGACCTTAATTCAACATACCACTTCAACGCCTGCAATACTCGTTTTAAATAGGTGTTGAACAAGAAGAACTTTACTGCTTATTGACTGCAATAAAATTCAAATTCGTTTTTATTGCTGGAAATACCGTTTTGTTTCCCTCTGCGCTTCAAACTTTGGAGTTTTTGGCTGTGCTGTAGGTTAAGTAGCGCGACACCAACTCCATTCATGGTGCAACTATATGGACTATCTATGCAGGACAAGCTATAATTAGGGAGATTGATAGTGTTAGTTAGTATATCAGACACACTTCCAGGAGAAGTGCCATATTATACCAGCACCACGTGATCTTGGTTTCTTCAACGATATGACGTTTCTTATTGGCCACTCAGACCAACGTCACTATCCCAAGATCCTCATCGAGTGATCTCATAAGAAGATGCATCCAAGACTATGACATCGAACTATTCTGTTGCCAAGCCAGGAATAACTTTACATTCATCTGAACAAAGTATCCAGATTAAAGCTGTCATGAGCGAATGTGCGATATCATCATAACACCTCGGATCATAAATTTCAATCGTCATGTCTCCATGCTTGGCCTGACGACAGCAGTTCAAACCTACACCCCGTCTCCATGACAGTTATTGTGGACTATGATGAATGGTGATAACGTCCAGGATCTCTTCAACCATTTGTCATCGAGATTCTTTCCGTTATCATCACACCTACAGTATGGTAGTCCGTTTTGATACGTTTATGTACGTCAATCTCGATCCGGAACCGTTACCTATCATACCCTGCAGCGTCATCAAAACGGTAGCTGCATCATGGTAGCTCGATCAAGAAACAGAGCGAGAATCTCAAATGAGGAAACCGTTATCGAGATCAAGAAGAAGAAAGATGGAGACGGTGATGATGGATGGCTCTTGGGTTGCTAGCCGGCTTAGAGGATTATCTCGATGAGACAAGATGTACCCCGGTTTTATCTCAGTTGGTGCAGACAACTCGTCAGGGTGTCAGAAGAATTGGCCTCTGAGAGCCTGAGAGACGAAATAATTTAGCCACCTTATGCCAACTTGGACCAGCCTTTATAGTTAGGTATTTTGGCACCCGAAGCATAAGACAACCTTTTTGTTACCCAGCTGCAACCAACGTAATGCCTGTAGACATCGCGTCAAGAAATATGACCGAGTCTAGACTACCATGAGGTCAACCATAGTGACATATCAAGCCCCGGCATCCATCTGCCGTCATGAGCAGAAAAGAAGAAGGCTGCAAGGCTGTCGAGTACGGAGGCCCATGTGGTGATGGTGCGGCTCAAACGTCATATCCCTGAGAGGTGCAGTAAGATGATGCAAATCTCGCCGCAAGGCAACCCTCCACCGTCGCCTATTACGGTCAGCAAAATCTGAGGCCCTGGGGGTGAGATAAACGTTTGACAGATAATCGACATTGAATCATTGCTATTGTGATTGCGTAGGTGCAGGGGAGAACCGAACAAGCTTTTTGGAGGAGCGGAGCCCTGGGTAAGAAAACCTTATGTCATCTTTCTCAAACGACGTCAAAACAAACATCAGAAGCAAGGATAGAGTTGAGGGAATGGGGCTTCAAACGGAGAGTTTTTGCAGTAGGGGGGCCCTGTCAGAGCAAAGGGAAAGCCATGGCAGGGGGATGGAAAACGAGAGAAACACCACGGATGGGGCAGACAGAGAGAGGGTCTGGAACGATTAACCAAACTCAGAAGGTGAAGTTATTGCTTGTGGTGGTGGCATTGATGATTTTCGCATAGACAAACCGAGTTGGAAACAGCAGTGTCGTCATCACGTGTCACGACGGCTGATCTGGGAGGCGAGGTGGTGATGCTTCACTTCCATGTCAAAGACTAGAGAGTGCGGATGCATCATGCCCTTTTGAGTATCAGCTCGCCTGCTGCAAGGGGCCTTTCTCTTCAGAAGGGCTGAGATGAGGAGAATGCTGGCCAGACCTCGAGATCACGGGCCTCTGTTTGGTCGAGACCTTTCAGACTAGGAACCGTTTTGGACCACCGGCAAAGAAAGGACAAGACAAGCTTGTGGGGCACGGAATGAGGCTCTAAGTGAGTTTGACGCCTGTCACCGGTGACAGCTGAAGATAGGAGTCAGTCCAAACAGAATCTTGACAGTGAAGTCTGAGAGTCAACACAAAGACAGGATTTGTGCTAGCCTCCCCGTCTGAGCGAGCTGAGGTTTGCCTGTTTGACCAATACAATGACGCAGATGGAATGCCTGTATCCGTAGCCTTGTGGATTCAGGATGTGCAAGAGGCCTGCTCATGACGATTTTCCCTCCCCTTCTTCTTTCTATTTCCCCTTTAACGTGCATCAAAAAACGGTGGTGAGCGTGCGAGTGTGAGTGTGAACTGTGAAGCGAGGCGAGATATGACGGTGTACGGTAGCATCCCGTCTTGTGTCTGCCTGAGCAAATCTCTAGAGCCAGAGCCAGCCTCCGTTTCCCCCAGCAGTGACAGCACTGTAAAACCCCCCTGAAAAACAATGACATCAGTAAGCCGAACAGTGGAGATCTACTCTTAGCGTGGCGGATGAAGTGACCTCATTGGCGCTCCCACACCTCAACAGAGACCCATGAATGCCGTCATTGGCCCACTTGAGTCTCGACTACTCTTTCCCAATCCTTACTCGCTGAGCGGCACAGCAACTTTGCCTGCCATACAATGAATAATTGGACACTGTGGGTGAGATGACATGGGAACTCGACGTAATTGCCATTCACCATGTTATTGCTCTCCGTTTTTACTGTAGGTAGTTCCGTTTTCGTGGCGTTTATTTTGTTATTGCTTCTGACATATCTTCTGTACAGGGGGGTAATGCTCTCCGAGGAGTTTGCAGCTCTCGACGTCAGGGATGAGTTCATTCTGGGTCGCATCTGTTGCCATCCTTGAATATTCAGGGTCCTTTTTCGATAGACAATCACATCTCAATAGATTCGGTGTAGCACTCACCGAGGATATGGATATGGGGAAAGTGGGAATAGCCTCGCTACTCAAACTCTGTTTTTCCCAGTGCAGTTCACCTCAGATCAATGCATGGACGAGACAGTAAGCGTGAATGAACCCTGGAAGCTCGGCCAAGGATGGGAAATTAGCGGCCAAGATTGGAATTTAGGTTCAAGACCATGGGAATCCTGCAACAATTCCATGTCGTGCCGAAATCCCCTCATCTGGGTCGGGTTGGGTTAGCCTGGGAGCCTGGGACTGGGCCACCTGGGCTCACCGTGGGATGGGATGGGTCCCAGTGATGTGCGCCCCTACCGAGAAGCATATCGGACGGAATCCATCCCCACGCAGATGCAACATTTTGATCTTGAGCCGCAAAAAGAGAATATCAATACGAAATCCAATGAAATCTGAAACTTGTGGTTCTCGATATACGCCAACGTTTGTCGACCTCGAGATCTCAGTAAAGATTTTGCACTCTAAAAAGGTCGAATTCTGGAGCATTCGTCAATTTGCAGTAATTCTCCTCTCTGATCTTTGGGCTAAATGGCTTAAACCTGCAGATGCCAAATGGCCCTAAACGACTCAAAAGGGCCGGAAGAATGCCAGCCCGAAGGATGCAGCGATGATCCCTCCTCATATCGAAATGTCTCGGACAATCCCTGTCCCCTCTTTTCGTAAAGTCTCTCAGGCCGCGTCTTAGTCTTGCTGTAGTCTTGGCCAAAAGGTCCCAAAAGGTCCAGAACCTCGACGAACCGTTGTACCTTTCAAAGCAACCGCGTGACCCGCCCAACTAAGAGGTAAAGCTCCTCGTGGTCCCCTACTGGTCTCATGGCCTCGGGAGCTGAAAAGTCATTAATCATACAATCGACTTTTGAAACCTCTAGCGGGCGCCGACGGGCAGCTGCGGTAAACTCTGTAATTTATCCATTCAATCTTCCTTCGTCTATGAAAAGCCTTCCACTTTTGGAGATTGTCGTAAGAGGATCTGTTCTCCTCAGCCCACGCATGATTATGAAGACATTGCTTGAACCGCATGCATCATTGCCCCGTTGTTTGACTTGAGCTTCAAGTCCTCAGTTCCAATCGCCCACCTCCAAAGCAAAGAAATGATGCACGAGATGACTTCAATGCCGGGCCCGGATCAGCAGGGTCTTTCTTTGTTTGTCCAGAGCCCCCATTCCACTGCAGTTAAGCTATTGCGTGCAGGGTTCAATTGATCAACAAGAGAAAAACCACCAATACAGTAAACGGTTGTACTGTAATTATCTCATTGTCAGCGTAGCCTCGCCTCTCACAGGCTGTATTGCTTCACACAACATGAAAAAGTGGTGGCGATGGAGCAGGACCCTGAAGAACCGGGGCTGCTTTGGCCACAACGAATGAGAAACAGTAGCGTCAGAGCGCAGGGATATACCGACGATCTCTCCGAAGCTTACAGGGTACGTACCGGCTGCGTAACAGTTTCGACTCGTCAAGCTACGCCATTTACAGGCGCTAGACGACGACAATCTCTGCCGATCAGCAGCTCATGATGGCATAACATTGGTCTGAACAGGCTGTTGAGCCCCGGTTTTTCCTCTTGCTCTCTGTAAATGTTAAGGAAAAAAGAGGGGAAATGTGTCGTTTGTCTCGTGCTTCCTGGTAGCATCACGGGTATGACAACCGCCTAGAGAGTGAGGTGAGGTGAAAAAAGAAGGGTCCATCCACGACGATGATGTGCTACGGAACCACACACACCTCTGGATGGACTCTCACACCCCATTACATACACAGCAACTCCACTCTGACTGCATTTTCAAGGGACCTGGGGGTGGAGGCTAATCCCAAGGTTTGGAGCCTGTACCTTGCCCGCTCCGCTCCTCTCCTCTAGGCTTACCTCTACGCTGTTTTGGACCCGACAGTTTCTGGTATAATAAGACCCTGAGATCCCCCTCGAATTCAATTCTCATCATCCAACAATCAATCAAGCATCACAACAACAACCACTACAACTCTTCAACCTCTTTTCAAGCCTTTTACATCTTTAAGCCGGCGTTTTAGCACAAGCCTATCTATCTATCCATCTATCAATTCATCTCTTCGACTCATTCACATAAGTCGATTCAACCAACCAACTACTCAAACACTCAAAACAAACTTCACAAACAACACCTTCATCATGCCCGCTCGATCTGACTACGGCTCCGTCTCCATGTCCATGTCTCCTCCTCCTCCCCAAAACCTCTCCAGCTACTCTCGCTTCATGCACGACCACACCAAGCGACAAATGGAGGCTTCTGGCGCTAGCCCCCCTCCCACCAACGCTACTGCTGGCCGGGCTCGTTCATCCATGACCAACGGAAACACCAGCCCGAATTACTCCTAGGTTCTCATAATATGGCAATGAGACAACACAATAACGACATTACCTCATTAGAGGCTTCACCATGATGACTTCTTTTTTTCTGTCGTTCTGCCTTGGCTGTTGGGGCTTGGAGATGAGATGACATCAAATACGACGTCAATGGTGGCGAAGCTCACCAACCCAGCCTCCTCTCACACTCAGCCAGGGCACTCATGAGTAACAACATTCACGGAGTACTGGTGCCTAAAAGTTCATTTTCATATGACAACATGGGCTCTTTTTTACAATGTTCAATTTCCTTACAAACACGACATGCAAGGCGTTTCTGGTTCTGGGGTTTCAAAGGTTGCGAGAGCAGCTGTTGTACTATACAATTGAGAGAGAAGGGATACACAAGCATCAGAGGAGGAAACATAGCTTAGCTATTGCTGCGATTAGCGGAATGATAAATGACAAATAACTTCATATCAACTTTCATGTTCCTTTGATACACGTGAATGTGTAATTCATGTTCCTTTAATGCATGCGAATATTTATTCATTTACCATGCTCTTTGAATTATAAGTCTCAGGTTAAATACATCTTCAACGTTAGGATCAATAGCAACCCGGTAAAGTCAAATCTCAACAAGTTAGATATACATATTGTATCAGCTGTTGAGCTCTAATAACGGTAAGCACATATTAACAACAGCTAAGCCACCCAAGACGACTTCTTCCTTCTTCCATCTTCAACCTTCCGCCTTCAACCAAACCAACACAACAACAAGTCGTCATCCGACGTACCAAGCTGCTAGTCAGTCAATTGACCCCGGTTCCTACCCTTCGCTACACATTAGAGATTCATACTTTTTTTAATATGAAGAACTTTGAAAATCATAGTTGTTTATTTCATATGTGCTTCATGCACCGATTAAAATACACCCTGACTGAAATCTCATAAAAGACATCTTATTCCAGTTGACCATATGAACCATCGTGAGCAAAAAAAGTAAAACCCGTTTGCGCCTAGACTCCGTAGTTGTTTACCATAAATTATCGTCATACGACTCTGAGAGCGGTCATCTCGTTGCTCCCCGTATTGCTCGGTGATCAAGCCTTCTTCTTTAGCCCAAGAGCTGCAGAGTGGTCTTTCTTCTTCTTGACCACCCTCTTGAAACTAGGAGCCGGAGCCGGGGCCACAGGTTCTAGCACAGCTGGTGCTTTCTCCTCAGGTATAGTGTCCATCTTCATCTGAGCTCGTGCCGCAGCGAAAGCTTTCTTAGCAGCTTCGTCGTCTTCCCTCTCCTGCTTCTCTCTTTCCTCGTCTTCTGTTCGTACTATTGTGCCCGCAAAGTCGACACCTTCTTTCTCAGATCGGTTGATCCGCGCGTTTCGGTGTCGGATCTCGTCTAGAGCGTCGGCGGCGGCCATTTCTCTCTGCGCGTCTAGGTTCTTGGCCTCGAGTTCCTCCATCGCGTTCTTTTCTTCCTCGCCCGCAGCCTCTGCTTCCTCGCGCTCAAGTCGATTCAGTCGTTGCTCTTCATCTTCGTCCTCGGTCTCGCGGTTGCGCCATGGCTCGTTGTTTCGCACTGCTCCACTAACCATGCTATAGTCATTGTTCTTGGGATCCGTCTTAATAATGACCTCCCCACTACATCCTGGGCAGCGGAAGTGCAATCTGACGATGGAGATGCCACCAAGGTATTTCTCAGCGGGATCAGTGGTCTTTTCGGAATTGAACTTCCTCCCCTTATACTGCGTCCTAGTTAGCTAATGTGCTTGAATTAGAGAGGTTCCGTGCAAGCCTTGGGGTCACGATGCTTCAAAGAACTTCTCCTGAACGAATTAGAGCAGAATAGAGTAACATACAATGAACGTTCCACAGCGGCAACATCTCATGGACCAAGGAGCCATAATTCGGACCTTGATGCTCTTGATTTGTCCAGCATCCTTTTTGCCCCCCCTTCGTCGAGTAAGAGCCGACGGATCGAAGTCCGGAGGGTAGTACTTCTGTAGAACTTTGCGTTCACTCATTCTGGGCGAGTTTTACTGAGTGAAATGTGTTGAGGAAGCTGTGTTGAGAAAGTTGAGTCGAGGCGGAACTATGTCGAGGTTGAAGTTGAGAAGTGAGGCAATCGCCAAATCGCGGATAATTTTTGGCACGTGCGTGGGTGGGGGCCAGTAATATTAGGTAAGCCAGATCCGATCCCTGCGCTTGTAAATGTGGAGAGTGTACCTACTACGGAGTATGTAGGTGATGAGTGTGACCACAGTTCGGGGGAACATGCCTTTTTATATTATTGCGATATTGACTTCATGATTCACGACATAAACTTTCTTAGAGTCCCAACGGTATCAGGCTCCAAACCTGTGGCTTAAAGTTGTTTTATCATGTGCATCCTGAAAGCCTCAATACAGCTTGCGTCTTGTGCTTGCAATATGAAATTCTAGCGTTAAGAAGAGGAAATAAAATTTATACACTGGAAAATGCCAAGATAGAAATATCAACCTGGTTACCAATGTTCATTCTTTTATATTCTCTCGACCTTTATCATACATCGCGTGCAAACCGCATTTCAATCCAGTTTCCTTGCTCCGCGAGTCTGCTGCCTGTTGCTGCAGCCAGCCCCACCCTGTGAAATCTAGCGGCTCGCGTTCAATGGCAAACTGAGCCAACTCAAACAATTCAACCACAACCTCAACACCATGGGTAAAGCTGAAGTCGGATCCACTAAATTTGTCGCCAACCGCATGAAGGCCAAGGGTCTTCAGCGGTTGAGATGGTACTGTCAGCCATGCGAGAAACAATGTAGAGACGCCAACGGATTCAAGCAGCATACAATGAGCGAAAGCCATGTGCGACAAATGCTTCTCGTCGGCGAAGACCCCAAGAAATACATCAACGACTATACCAAACAGTTCTTAAGCGACTTCCTTCTGCTTCTAAGGACTGGCCACGGAGAGAAACAGGTTCATATCAATCGTTTCTATCAAGAATACATTGCCAATAAGGTAAGCTCTAAGCAGGGTCTTTCTTTTTTCGCCAACTTACTAATACAAAACAGGAGCACATTCATATGAACAGTACTAAATTCAGTTCACTCACCGATCTCGCGAAGCACCTGGGCCGCGAAGGTATTTGTCGAGTAGAAGAGACCGAGAAGGGCATACATATATCTTGGATCGATAAGTCACCAGAGGCCCTGCGACGACAAGATGCATTAAGGCGCAAGGAGGCGCAAGATCAGGGCAACGAAGAGTTGGAACAGCGCATGATCCGAGAGCAAATCAAACGAGCACAAGCCGCCGCTGGCACCAACGACGAAGAAAAAGAAGAAGATCCTGAAGCCCGCGAGTTAAAACGCCAAGAGGGCGAGAAGATCACGCTCTCATTTGGAGCGAAGCCAGCCGCCCCCGAAACGAAGGCATCGGAGAGTCCCGCGCCCGACACGTCTACACAAGAAGCAGAGTCTTCCAAGACGACAGAAACGACCACTGAAAAGGCAAAGGAACCTGAAACGGCACCAGCGAAGCCAAGCGGATTTGGGGGTATCTCGATGAAGCTTGGTGGAAAGCCGCAAACCAAGAACGTCTTCGCTCAGGCCAAGAAGAACGCGCTCTCTTCAGGACCCAAGAAAGCCGCCAAAATCGAACCACCCAAAAAGATGAGCGAGGCCGAACGTATTATGAAGGAGGAGATGGAAAAGAAGCGGTCCAGGGAGTCTGCTGGCTTTAGCTTCGGCATGGGCTCCAATAAGAAGCAGAAGAATAACTAAACTGCTGCGATTCTATTTCGTGGCATGGCGAGACTGGAATTTCTGTCGAAAGACAAGGACACAATGCATATCACAGGACATGGTTGGGGCGTTATTGGTTTGATTATCCATCATAGATACCACTACAATATATTAAAATGACGATTCTTGGTTTTCCGTTATCTCTACATAAACACTGCTATTCCATCCCTTCAACGCCAGTTTCGCCAGAAACAGTAGATCTAATCATCGCACGCATCGACCGACTGCCGTATTTAAGCATCGTTCTCTGCGTCTGTGCCGTCACGTCTACAAATCCACGATGTTAGCCCCATTCAATGCCAGTGTACCTAGAGGTTTGACTTACGGAATGTACTGTATTCTATACTCGTCCTCCAACGTCGATCGCACATCGTCAGGAAGCTGTCCCAAGACTTTGATAGCATACATGCCGGGCACGTAGCTGTCGAGACGCTGGTACTTTGCGATCCACGATTCGCTCGGATTTGCGAGTGTGATAACACCCTCGAAGACGGTAGATGTACAGCTCTCGATTTGATCCTGGGAATGCTGGAGGTGCAGGAATTCTTCGCAGTTGGGGCAACCTTCGTTTTGGAAGCGCTAGATGTCGATAAACATTAGTTTATTGAATTCGTTTTGGGGAGATTTCGTGATGGTTGGACTAACAGTGCTGGTCATGATGATGGAGCAGATCATGCACGCTCGCAGGTTACGCGCATTACTGGATGGAACGGTCGACATGTTTGGGGTTTTGTAGAGAAGATCGTTATAGCGTTTTCGTGGAAGAGGAAATGCGGTCGTGAAGAGTTGTTCAGCGCAGACCAGTTCGCGACAACAAAGGCGGCGATAAAGTGTCGTGATGCATATAAGCGGGGTATGCACTAACTGCGATATCCACCTCGACTTCAATCTCTAATTGAAGATGGATCTCAACACCCAACCTTCAGAAAACCTTCACAGTTTTTCAACTCAAAATGACACAAAATCCAAGCCAGTCAAGCCAAAAGAATATCTTTCAACAGAAAGATCTTGAGAAGTCTCATGATATTCTCACCTGCACAATCAAGGAACCGCCCTTCTCATACGCCCACCTAGAGCTTGTGACGGATCTTCCCAGCAGTTCTTCATCTGTCGTCCTGGACGATCTTTCCCTTAAAAGCTACTGCACAACTGCTCTTCGACAATTCTTAGGAACTACGGGTGTTGCTATCTCTATCGATATTCTTAAAGTGGAAAACAACCATGCATGGGTTCGCATTCCAAGACTAGACCTCGGTTCTTTCGCTGCAGCGATCACAGCTTGGAGAGGCACAAGCGACAATGGCGAGCAAATAAGCCTTCAACTCCGACAGTGTTCGGACTGGTTAGGCGCCATGGTTGGGGCTGACGGACAAAATCGACTTTGGAACGCATGAAGAGTGGCATTTGTTATATTCATCATCGTTGAACTGGAACTTCATCTGATCATCTAGATGGGGTATAAATGTATGAAAGTACATCGCCCATCAGCCTACCTTGCAAATGCACCGTTTCCAGACGCCTGGGACCCGAATACACCCCGAAACCGCCGCCAATTTCTCTTTCTACGAGCTCTCCGCCATTTCTACATGAGAGAGGACATGAGAGAGCTTTGCGCATATGCCTGGCATTGTGTTAGTGTTGAGAGATGTATCTAGACACGAAGCATCAACTTACCATAGGCTTAATGTCGGGATGGGGCACGGCATCGAATTGCTCGTACTGAAGCTTGTAATCGGGGCCGATGTTAATGTAAGCGCCCCTGTTTTCTGTCGAGTCACAGTATCGAGGGGCAGAAAAGACTAATGAAAATGTTAGTGGCAAAGTCATAAATAGATAGCCGGATCAACTCACCGGTAATACAGCGACCATCGTGCTGCACCTCATAACCATCCATGCGAACCTCGTGACTTCGAATAACAGCCTCAAGACCGTTCTTCTCACAGAACTTCTTGGTAATGTCGGGACCGAACTGCATGCCGACACCACGCTTACTAGGACCCCGGCCATTCTCCTCCTGGGGATCGGTCCAAAGCATCTCCATCATCAAGCCAGCCTGTCCGGGTTGTCGCTGGCCGTGTCGGTTCAATTTTCGGATATCGTCAAGAGTGACACTGTCATCTGAGAAGAGACCTCCATGAAGAACAAGGTACTTCTTGCCAATGAGTGTAGCCAGAGCCAAAGCAGAGAAACTCTCGGAGAATAACTTGAAGACTCGCTCGTTGTACTTGGCCTTGCATTCGCCCTCGAAACCATAGACCCGGTTCATGTCGTCTGTCTCGTGGTTTCCACGGTTCAGGAAGAACTGCTTAGGTCGTAGCCACTTGTAAGCATACAAAAGCAGGGCGATCTCAGTTGACCAGGAACCTCGATCCACAAAGTCACCGTTAAACAGATACCAATGCTTCTCGTCAGGAGTGCCGTTGCGGCGGAACAACTCCATAAGATCGAAGTATTGACCTAAAAGGATTAGTTAGCTGGACAAGACATTGGCAGGCAGAATTCTTACCGTGAGTGTCACCACAGACAGTAAGCTTGACATCGCTAGGAATCTCCACCTCAACCATTGTAGGTTCATCGTAGACGATCTTCTTAACGGCAAGAAGAATCTGGTAGACGTATTTTCGGTGAATCTTCTTGCCGTTCTTGAAACGCTCGATCATGTCGTCGATGAATTCTTGTGTCATCTCCTCGCCTAGTCGCACGCCATCGTATCCCGGCTCAACAACCATCGAGTCCAGATCGAGACCCTCGGCTGCTGAAGGCTCATCACCAACCTCGATAGCAGCAAAGAAAGCCAGCTGCCTGACAATCTTCTTGCACTCTTCCAACTTGAGCCTGGCATCTTTGTTGTTGGGATCGAGAGTAACACACGTCTTGAAATCATCGATAGCCTCCTTGGGTCGTAGGATCGCAGTCTTAGCTAGACCTCGTCGGTAAAACGCCTGCCTAGGTCAGAATTCGAACTTGTATGCTTCAATGGTTCGTGGCGAACCTTGACAAGCTTTGGGTTAAGCTCAATAGCTTTTGTGGCATCAGCGACGGCATATCCATAAGCTTCAGTTTTGATGTATGCCTGGTTCCTGAAGTTAATACAATGTCCAATTTAACGGTCGTAAGTCCTGTGTATGACTTCGCACCTGGGCTCGGTTGGTGAAGAAAGTAGGCTCCTTGTCGTTCTTTTCGATAGCCTGAGTATAAAGGTCGACTGCGCTAGGGTAGTCTCCTGACTGAAAGGCTTTGTTGCCTTGGTTTTTGAGTTCGACAGCATCCATTTTGTAAAACGTTCGAGGTTTGTCGAGGGCGTCAGAGAAAGAGATGGAAGATGAGAGGAGGGGGAGGGGTAGTTGTTTGGTGGTTTTGCGCCGAGCGCAGTATCGACCACTCAAGTCAGTCGCAAAAAGAGAGGGACTCGAATTTGAAGTGTGCAGGTTAAGAATAAGCTCGTGGAATGCTGCAGAAGCGAGGCGGACTGCGAATAATGGTCGGTTCCACAATGCGAGGAAGAGCAAAGAAGTTTTGGAGGTTGATGGCGGGCGGCTTTTGGTGGAGTTAACTTGCCCCCCGCTGGCGGCGCGTCATGAACCGAACCTGACGGCTCCATCGGGGGCTTAACGGGCGAGGTTTCAGGGCTTTCAGCCAATATGATAGGTCTAGGGCCCCTGTAAGCATAGGTTGCCTACCTGGGTGCAAATCGTCCGGGCATTGTCTCTGGAATGCCTAGCGTCTGAACAGGCGTCAAAAGACGGGGAATCTTTTATCAATCGCCACCCTGGACTGCATCAAACATCTGTGGATGTAACTGGAGCATGTTTCAGCGGCTACCATCCTACATGCAGGATCCATATCTTCAGCTCTAAACCAATATTCAGAACAAATTTATGTTATTCTTCAGAAAGGTATTGAACTGAACATCACGCAGCTATAAGGTCACGCGACTTATGAAATTCGTGGTAAATTTATGTAAGCTGTCAGGTCTTGTGCCTGAAAATCGGTTAGTTGCATATCTTAATCGCCCCACTAAGCTGTTCTAATCTCACAACTCGACTCATAGCTCATACTTACTCGTTATCAACCCCGGATTACATTCACTCACATCATGGAGTCAGGATCAGGGACATCAAATGCGCTGGTGCGCAAGCGGTCCGACACCGCTTTGATGCCCCCTCCTCCTCCTGCTAAAAAGATGAAAAGGCCAAAGAAAGTCCTCGACGAGGATACCTACACAGAAACCTTGTCTCAGATCATAGCTCGAGACTTCTTCCCTGGGTTGCTACAGACAGAGACACAGCAGGAATACCTCGATGCATTAGAGTCAAAGGATTCCGCCTGGATCTCGAGTGCAGGACGAAGACTTCAACATGTTATGACTCCAGGACGCCAAAGCACACCTCTTCCTCCAAAGGCAACAAACTCTTTCGCTCCTGGAGACCAGACACCCTCAGCATATGGAGGTGATACGCCGGCTTCTGTTTCTTCACATATACCCGAATCTCGACCACGCCTAAAGTCCAACATGAGTTTGTCCAAATTTCAGGAGACGTATACAAGCGAGGACAACGAGAGCTTTTACAAGCTTATTGACAAGCAGAACCAGAAAAAGGCCGAAAAGTATGCTTGGCTTTGGCGCGGTAACAAACTACCCTCAAAACAAATGATCAAACAGAAGGAGGTTGAAGATCGAATCGGGCAAACGCGGAGCCTCATAGATGACGGTTCTAAACGCGATCGTCTTGCTATCAAAGACAAAGACGACCGTCCGGCACGCCCAGATACCTGGAATGCCGATCCTAAGAACAACTTGATGTTCAGACCCGATGGAGTTGAAGATGGAGTTGTTACTGTTTCTCAGAAAGCCGAGGAATCTTCAAAGATGGCGCCCAAATCGATTGTATACGCAAACACTAGAATGCCTGAGCCACGCGTCATACAACGACCACCATCGCCCACCATGTCTGCAGTGCGAGACGCCATCGCAGGCAGGCCCCGGAAGAGTGATCAAGATTCAAGTGTTACCGGAGAGGAGACGCCAAGAGTGAATGGTTACGCCTTTGTCGACGACGAGGATGATGAAGATGAGCCGATACTTCCTGCACCCATCATCAACTTGGGTCCAGGAGATGCAACGCCAAACCCTTTCCGCCTACAGGAGCAACGCGACAGAGAGAGTCTACATGAGCGTATGGTGGACCGGATATCGCAATCAAAGAAGGAATCCACAAGGAATGGACTCACAGGGAGGGTCGATAAAACACCAGTCCCCAAATTCCCAAGTAGCCCTCGAGTATCTGCTGGAGGCCTGACACCAGCAGCACAGAGGCTGTGGAGCAAAATTGGCACACCTGGACGCGGATCAAGCGGGAGTTCATTTGGGCAGTCTAATAAGCCCATGACTCCACGAGGGTCTCTTTTGAGATCAGTTAAGAAACCTGGCTCAACATCGGGATCAAAGTGAGGACTTTGAATTTTATATGTATTTTTTAGCATGGCGTCGGCGTTATTGGTTACTGCAGCTTGACGAAAGTGCCGTTTTTTTTTATAGGGCGGTTTTACAAAGCGGGATGCTTCAACAACCATAGAGAGAAGAGGTTTTATCAATAGAGACCAGGTTCCAATCGTTCTTGGTTTTTCATGTACAGTCTACAAGCCGCCATAAAGATAAGAGGCTGTGATCGATTTATCTAAGCTCTCCATTGTCTAGCTTTATGCTCGGTCCATGCTCAGACTATTGGGACGTTCTTTTGTTAGTTCGTAATTTGTATGTAAATATTGAAGCTGTACTATTATTCGTATCTACTTGTACCTGGATTTGGATTTGGATATTATTCTAGATCAATACATCTTCGGCAGTTGATGTGGTTAACCCCCTTAGTTGCATGACCCATCAATTAAGTCATGGACTTTTTTTCGCCGAACCTTGGAACCAGCAACCCACCTTGTTAAGCTGGCAGCCAAAGCCAGCACGCCAGATACCATTAATTACCTCTATTCAATGCGCTTCTGGACCTTTGAGGCCTTATCGACCTGATGAGGTTCGTCGACTTCGCTATCGACCTCGCAGCCGTGCTCAATGCCTCTCGAGGCGTCGCCGCCAAGCATGTCGCTCTTCGAGGTCGCCAGATCGACACTTATAGCCGAACATCGAGCGTCGCTGCGGCATTGAGAAAGCGAAATGCTCAGAAGAGCCCACCGACAGCAGATGCGACACATACTGCTACGAGGCCGAATGATGACGTGACTTACGGGCAGACTGCACGAGAGACGGATTCTATAATCGAGACGGCGAAAGATAGACAAAATGTCCAACCGGAATCTACGAGCACCGAACGAGCTCCGTTCAGTAGTCCGATACCAAATCTCAGGCCGAGTCCACAGCAACAAGCTACATCCGAACCGGCCAAGGAGGATGATCTTGATTTACCACCCGGAGTCGACATCAACATCTTCCATACGGCACGAGGTTCCAAGGTCCTCGATTCCCTACGAAAGCAAGGCAGACCTGGTGCACCACCTGCAAGACCTGGAGCCGGAGGTCCCGTGAAGGAGCATCCCATGAGAAATTGGCCTCCTCCCCCACCCCGTCCAGAGGATATCTTCGATGCGGAGCCCGAGAAGCCCCAAGAACCTGTCACAAAATATGTGGAACCTACGGAACCCGCGAAGTCTGTAGAGCAGAAGCCTACGCCTGTGCAGGAGAAGTTTGCGGAAACAAAGACTGTAGAGGAGACACCCGTGCCTGAACCAGAGAAGGTCGCTCCGGTTGTCCCTGAAGCTGATAAGAAGATCGATGAAGACGTCATCCAGGCCGCAAAAGAGATTGCTGGAGATGCAGTAGCACCCTCAGAAACCCCACATGCTCTGAGAGAGTCCAGTGTTCCCTCGTCACGCATCAGCCGAATATGGAATTATGGTGGCCTTGCTGCTGGCATGTTGGGAGGTGCCATGACCGAAGGCTTCAGCCGAGCTTTTAGTGGCGGTGGTCAGGGATCCGTCCTCTTGAGTGAGAAGAACATGGAACGCCTGGTTGCCAAACTCTCGCGGATGCGTGGTGCTGCTTTGAAGCTTGGTCAGATGATGAGCTTCCAGGACACCAAGATGCTTCCGGCTCCCATCCAACAGGTCCTTCAACGCGTTCAGGATCGTGCTGATTACATGCCCGCTTGGCAGCGTGATCGTGTGCTCGTCGCCAATCTCGGTCCTGAGTGGAGGGAACTATTTAGCGAGTTTGAAGAAAAGCCCATCGCCGCGGCTTCGATCGGACAAGTTCATAAGGCAGTTTTGAAGAATGGCAAGCGAGTGGCTGTCAAAATTCAGTTCCCTGGTGTTGCCGACTCAATCAACTCAGATCTCGACAATCTCAGCCTTCTCCTTACAGCAACTAAGCTTCTACCCAGAGGCCTATATCTCAATAAGACAATTGACAATGCACGACTGGAACTTGGTTGGGAGTGCGACTACGAGCGCGAGCTTCAGTGCGCTCAGCGCTACAAGGAGCTTCTTGGATCGTCTGAGAAGGATGTTTTTATGGTGCCGAGTGTCTACCCTGAAGCATCCGGCAAGCAAGTCCTCACTATGGACTTCATGGATGGCATTGGCGTGACCCGCATCACATCCTTTACTCAGGAGCAGCGCGACTGGATCGGCACACAGATTCTTCGACTCTGTCTCCGTGAGATCACCGAGTTCCGTTTCATGCAGACGGATCCTAACTGGACAAACTTCCTCTATAACGAAGACCTCAATATGCTTGAGTTGCTCGACTTTGGAGCTTCTCGCGAGTATCCCGATGAGTTTGTTACCCAGTACGTACAGCTCCTTGCTGCGGCCTCTCGATCCGACAAGGCCGCCGTCAAGGAGTTGTCTGAGAGTCTTGGTTACCTGACAGGCCATGAGAGCCGCACTATGGTCGAGGCACACACAAAGTCTGTTCTTACACTCGCTGAACCTTTCCTTGCCAACGCGCCCGACATCTACGACTTCAAGGACCAGACTATTACAGAGCGTGTGAAAGCACTGATCCCTGTGATGCTTCAAGAGAGACTTGCACCCCCGCCTGAGGAGACATACAGTTTGCACCGCAAGCTCAGTGGTGCCTTCCTCCTGTGTGCCAAGCTGGGTAGCAAGGTTCCTTGTAAGGTGATGTTCGAGGAGGCTCTTGCCAAAGGAGGGTACAGTAAGTGAGAGGACGGAGAGGTAATGCCACCATGTATCATATAATCCCATGTAAAACTATTTAGAGTATAAAACGGGCGATGGATGTAGAATAGAGAATATGAAGTTTATGAAGATAAAAAGTCTCTTTAAGTTTCGAACCCTATCGAAACGGTTAGTATAATGAGTTGAAGTTCTCGGACAATCGGTATTCGGTGGTTTGAGACAAGATCTGGTGGGGCATCAGTAGGTAGTCATTATGAGATATTTGCATCATAAATTATTCAAGCAGGTATATAATAAGTACCGATTTAATGAATAAGAAGAGGATGTTAAAGGTAAAGAGAACATAATAAGTGTATTCCTAGAATTGATAGTTCAAAGTTCGTCTACCAAGTCAAGTTGGAATGCTTGACGCATGTTATAGGGCGTTTGGTATGCCGCTATCGCACCTACCTCAGGTAAGCTTGCCCTGTACCCCGCGCGAATACATAACCTAATCAAAGGCCCACCTGCCTCTCTTAATGGATAGCTACAGTCACCAACCTACCTAACTAAACCTTCAGCTTTTCTATCGACGGCATCTTCAGTTCAAGATGGCGGATTTAATCACTTTGGCGACATGTTCCCTCAATCAGTGGGTGCTGGATTGGGCGGGCAACCTTAAGAGAATCCGCAAGAGTATCATCTTGGCCAAGGAAGCTGGAGCTACTCTGAGAACGGGTCCTGAGCTTGAGATCACAGGCTATGGATGGTAAGTTCTTTGACCCATATTAGTACAGTAAAGATATTCTGACATTGATTGATAGTTTGGACCATTTCCTTGAGGCTGACGTCTATGATCACTCCCTGGAATCACTCCTCGCAATCTTGGCTGATACCGAACTCCATGGCATCCTTATTGATGTCGGTCTTCCTCTTATGCACAGGGGTTGTCGGTACAACTGCCGTGCCATTATCCTCGACGGAAAGCTTTTGTGTCTTCGACCCAAGATCTATCTCGCTAATGATGGGTGTGTAGTACTTACCCCAGAAGGAACCCTCATACTGACCCGACTCTACAGAAACTTCAGAGAGAACCGCTTCTTTACTCCTTGGAACAGACCGAGATATGTTGAGCAGTATAACCTTCCTCCTGGTCTACAGAAGCATCAAGGTGTTCGACAAGTTCCTATTGGTGATGTTGTTCTATCTCTCAATGATACAACTGTCGCTGCTGAGACGTGCGAGGAACTTTTCACTCCCCAGGCACCTCACATCAACATGTATGTTCTAATGCAACCTCAACTTACTCTGGAAGCGATGGAGCCAATGTGCAAGATAGCTAATGATCATTTAGGGCTCTCAATGGCGTCGAAATCTTCACCAACTCCTCTGGCTCTCACCACACATTGAGAAAGCTCGATGAGCGCATCGCCCTGATTTCCGAAGCAACCCGCAAGAGCGGCGGTATTTACCTATACGCTAACCAGTCCGGTAACTTGATCTCAACCCTTACACGCATCTTACTCAATCTCACATCGTCTTAGGCTCCGATGGAGACAGACTTCTTTACGACGGTTCATCCCTTATCATGGTGAACGGCAACATTGTGGCCCAAGGTGCTCAGTTCAGCTTGGACGACGTCGAAGTGGTTACAGCGACCGTGGATCTCGAAGAAGTTCGTGCCTATCGATTTGCCCCATCTCGCAACTTCCAGGCTGTCCAAGCACCAGTGTATGAAAGAATTGAGGTCGACTTTAGCCTAAGCGCGGAAGACCTTGACATTGACCTTCTACGAGCTCCAACACCTCCTAGACCAGCCAGATATCACGTCCCCGAGGAAGAAATTGTAAGTGTCTACGGAACCCCTTCTTCGTGTTTTCACTGTGGTAATAAAGAATCTCTCTACGAGGACCTATGCTAACCTTTTGCTCAATCTAGGCCCTTGGTCCCGCTTGCTGGCTCTGGGATTACTGTGAGTTTCTTTCATCGGTATTCGGCCAGGCTATCAAGAGGCTAATTGGAAAACAGTACGACGAAGCAAGGCTTCTGGTTACCTTGTACCCCTTTCTGGAGGTATCGATTCGTGTGCGACCGCCACTATCGTCTTCAGCATGTGTCGGCTTGTTGTTGCGGCCATCAAGGCAGGCAACGAAGAGGTCATTGAGGATGTCAAGCGAATCGCTGTGTACTCTGATAAGCTGCCCGAAACTGCTGAGGAGTTCTGTAGCCAGATCTTCCATACCATTTACATGGGCATGGAGAAGCAGAGCAGCAAGGAGACTCGCCAGCGTGCCAAGGATCTCTCCGAGCGCATTGGAAGCTACCACACTGACATGAACATCGACGATACTTTCAACGCCACAAAGAACCTGCTCACTCAAGGCACTGGATTTGAGCCCAAATTCAAGGTCCATGGAGGATCAGCGACTGAGAACTGTATGTTGATCCACCCTTTTTCAGTCATGCCATGATTTCATTTGGTCGATGTACTAATTTCTACAGTGGCTCTACAAAACATTCAGGCCCGTAGCCGTATGGTCATTGCCTATTACTATGCCCAAATGCTGCCAACAGTACGACAGCGACCAGGAGGAGGCAGTCTACTTGTTCTTGGATCCAGCAACGTCGATGAGTGCCTACGAGGATGTGAGTAACCTATCCAGGAGATTTACAATGACATTGGCTGACAGCATACCCCAGATCTTACCAAGTACGATTGCTCTTCGGCTGATGTGAACCCCATCGGCAGCGTTAGTAAGACAGACTTGAAGAGGTTCATCGCTTGGTCCGCCAAGAGCTTTGACATGCCTATCCTGGAGGAATTTATCCACGCTATTCGTACGTCAAGCCCTCAAGTCAGCATCATTATGATTCTAACACGATACAGCTACGGCCGAGCTTGAGCCTATTACCGCAGACTATGTTCAGAGTGACGAAGGTGAGTCATGTTCGTTTGTTTGATAGCAATTGACTAACACAATCTCAGCTGATATGGGCATGACATATGACGAGCTCTCTCGTTTCGGGGTAAGTCAAAACAATCCCTAAACTTATAGACAGTCAAACTCATAAATATCGCAGCGTCTACGTAAAGAAAGCAAACTCGGCCCATACGGCATGTTCCTCCGACTTCTTGAGGAATGGGGTGGTGAGGGCAAACTGACCCCGCGAGAAGTTGCCACCAAAGTCAAGCGATTCCACGGATTCCATGTATGTTTTTCTTCGGCCAAAATTGCTATTGACTGAGCTAACAATTCTTTAGTATATCAACAGACACAAACAAGCTGTGGCAACACCTGCTGTCCATGTCGAGAACTACTCTCCAGACGATCACCGATTTGATCTTAGACCCCTGGTTTACCCCTCACCATGGAATAGTTGGTCTTTTGAGAAGATTGATAAAAGAGTTGAGGCTATGGAAAAGGCTCTGGAGAAGAAGAAGGCTGCGTCTTTAAAGTAAATAAAGTACGAGGATCAGGAATGAGATAGATAACTCCAGTTGACTTCCCAGTGCCTGCAGTTGGCCCTTCAGTTAATCAATGGCCCGGCCTGAAAGCTGACAATTTTACCTCTCCATAACAGGAAGAACCACAGTCATGGTATGTATGCTTTCATTGTTGAACATGTTGAACGGGACGGCCGGTCTGCAACTAGGTGCCTATAAGAACGAGATTGTCCAGTTTATCCTGTATAACCTCGACTCAGGAGGTAGTGACTTTTTAGGCAGCACTTTAAATACCTAGGTTTTCACAATGACACCTTGGATTTGTAAATACTCGCAAAGGTGTACTCGACAAAGTTACACATTTGGTCACACATATGCTGATTTTGAACCTTGTGCAGTATTAACACAAGCTCGACGAGGCATCTTCGGACTGTATGTAAATTTATAATATGCACTGTAACTTTCCGCATATATAAATTGCATCTGCGATCTCTCCACTTCTCTCTTTCTCTTTCCTTATCAATCTGAAACAGATGTAGAATCGAGGGTTTGACCTATGATGAGCACTTGGCATCAGAGAGCAACTACGGCTTATACAGTTGAAAATGATGCATCCGTGAACTGAGGTCATAAGACTTTGGGTATTTTCAGGCGAGTTGCCAAGTGCCAATAAGTCGCTGGTCGTGGTATCGTCAAGTGCTCATGGGAGTCACAGATCTAGGCCAAACAAGAAAAACAATACACAGTAATAATAGTAGTACCTAGAGTCGAAGCAAATTATCTAGATGAGGAATATAATTGACGGGTAGAACGGCAACAGAATCATCAACCCAAATATGTTGATCTGCAGCGCTGGGAATACGCTCGATAGCAACTAGGGAATGGCAAATGCATATCATTTAATCAAAACAGAATGAAACTCTACTGCGCAGCATTACAACTAGTCCAAGGCTATGCAAATATCTACAGTAGCATTGGATGGACCCTCGATGGCGCAGTAGGTTCAGGCGACTTCCCTGAAGCTAGAGATTGATGATCCTCATATTTCCCTTTTCCGTAACCACGATCGATAGTGCAGGGCTCTGGTTGGACCCTGAACGGGGGGAATCGACCAGCCTTACAGGGCGCCTTGGATCTTACCTACGTCATAATATGCCGCCAACACCGACAGGTATCGAGCTAAGACTGCGGCTGTGTCTCAGCGGCGCTGGAAACTCGAAGGATTCGCTGATCTATTCCTAAAACAGTATCAATGCAGCGCTCGCTCTATATCACCATCTACCTATTCTATCGTAGCTGAGTATCAGACTCTTGAATATATAAGTTGAAGGCTTCGCCAGTCTTGACAAGATATCATCAAACAAATAATCTCTCAATCAAGACAATCATTCAGTCTCAACCATCTTTCACTCACTCAATCACCTACAAACAACTCTCACCTTATCACATCTACACAATGGGCAACTCAGACTCAAAACTCTCTCCCTACCAGCTCTCAGACGAAGAGCTCCAAGCTATCCCTACAATCATCCGCATGACATACCAAAGCTCATGGAGGAAATATGCCTGCTGCTTCACAAGCAGAAACATCAGTCTTGGTCCACCCGACGCTGAGCCCATGTATACCCTTAGCTTCCTTCGAGGTTTATACGGCGATATCATTATCCATAAGGGTCCCAACTCCGACTCGGCTCCCATCGCAACATCTTCAAGAATCAAGCAATACCACGACGATTACCTCATCACACTACCCTCCCCTACAGGCCATGGTGTCCATGAAGAGACTCTACGCCGACCCCAGGGACTGAAGGGTCGTTTCTGGTTCGGCTGTCTAGTCGGTAACGGTCCAGAGCAGCGCGTCGAGCGTTTTGAATGGCGTCGCTCGCGCGGTGCTGAAGTCAAGAGTGTCGGACAGTCACGATGGGGTGGCTACAAGCTCGTGCGTCTCGGAAGCACCGACACCAAGGAGGATTACTCGTCCAGCGAGGATGATCTTGCTGATGAGAAGAGCAACAGCGGCGAGGGTTATACCAGTGACGGCAAGGAGATTGTGGCAGTCTGGGGAAATGCCAGCTGCTGGAAGACCATGTCTGGCGTTGGAGAGCTTCAGTTCCGAGGAAGCGGTGCGACAGGCGAGTTGGGAAATATGTGGGCTCTTATGACTGTCATGAGTTGCATGTCTATCTGGCAAAAGGTCCAGAGGGATAACGCTACAGCTGGTGCGTCGGCTTCTTCAGCTTCTGCTAGTTCAGCCGCGGTTGCTGCGGCCGTATCCTAAGTGGTTTGTTGGATTGTGGTGTATAAGATTAGCGGTTTTTCATTCATGATATCCATGTTGCAGATAGAGTACCTATAGACTTTCAATTCTCAAGACATTTTACTTGATCAATCACATTTGGCAGCTTTGTGTGTTGGTCTGTATTACTTACACCACTACCCCTCCAACTTTAAGGATACTTGGCAAATAGCCCAGGGTCAAGACACATCCACGTACATATGATATCTGAGCTTTGTAAAAAGGTAAAGGCTGTTTAATAAGGACCTTTCGGGACTTCAAGATATAGAGGTAAAAAGGTAGGTACGCAAAAAAACATACAACAGCGGGGATTCGCTGGTCGTCACCGACCCAACTACTAATCCGCCCCTTACCAGC